CACTGACACACACACAATACACTGACACACAGATACACACACACAATGACATACTGTATTTGTGTAATGTTGTTTGAAAGATGAGATGTATGAACATACTCATAGACACTGACACACACACTCTGAATCACATACACACACATAGCCTCACACTGATACACATCCAGATACACAGACATACAGATACACAGACAGACATGCAAATACAGACACACAGATACATATACTGATAAACATCAGATACAGAACTGACACACATACAGATATACAGACAAACATTGACACACATACTAATACACAAACACACATATACACACTGAAAACACATGTAGATACACAGACACTCACTAACACACATCAAAATAAACCATAAAGATAATGAGGGGGGGACCTACTGTCCCCTCCCGGCCCCCACCCCTGAGCGGTGGGTGGGGGCCCTAAAATGAACAATAAGGGGTGACCTATTGTCCCCCCCGGCCCCCACCCCTGCGCGGCGGGTGGGGGCCATATTGATAATGAGGGGAGGACCTACTGCCCCCCCGGCCCCCACCCCTGTGCGGCGGGTGGGGGCCATATTTATAATGGGGGGGACCTACTGCCCCCCCCGGCCCCCACCCCTGGGCTGCGGATGGGGGCCCTAAGTAAATTCCCCCCCAAGGTGACTAGGGGTCCCCAAGCCTCTAGTCACCCCCCCCTCCCCCAAATAAAAAGTCCCTACCTACCCCCCTCACCCTAAAAAAAAGTGAGGGGGGAATAAAATAACTAACCTGTAAAAAGAAAGGAAACTTACCATTCAACGTCTTCTTTTTTCTCAAATCTTCATTTTTCAGCCCCAAAAAAGGCCAAATAAAAAACCAACATAACCGTCAAACAAAAAAAAAAAAAATCGCGAGTGCAAAAAAAAAAAAACCGACGAAAAAGAAAAAAACCCGAGCGCAAAAAAATAATCCATCTTCACCCATGGAGGGCTCTGCACAGACTGAGCTCTGCAGGGCGGGGGAAGGCTTATAAAGCCTTGCCACGCCCTGCAATTAGGCTAAGAACACTCTGATTGGTGGGTTTAAGCCAATCAGAGTGCTCTTTGTCATTTTACACAGCGTGAATTTCAAGCCATCCAATCACAGTGCTCTGTGTCATTTTACACAGCGTGGGAAAGTTCTTTGGAATTTTCCCACGCTGTGTAAAATGACAAAGAGCACTCTGATTGGCTTAAACCCACCAATCAGAGTGTTCTTAGCCTAATTGCAGAGCGGGGCAAGGCTTTATAAGCCTTGCCCCGCCCTGCGGAGCTCAGTCTGCGCTGAGCCCTCCATGGGTGAAGATGGATTATTTTTTTGCGCTCAGGTTTTTTCTTTTTCGGCTGGTTTTTTTTTTTGCGCTCGGGATTTTTAATTTTTTTTTGTTCGACAGTTATGATGGTTTTTTTATTTGGCCTTTTTTGGGGCTGAAAAATGAAGATTTGAGAAAAAAGAAGACGTCGAATGGTAAGTTTAATTTTATTTTACAGGTTAGTTATTTTATTCCCCCCTCACTATTTTTTAAGGTGAGGGGGGTAGGTAGGGACTTTTTATTTGGGGGGGTGGGTGACTAGGGGCTTGGGGACCCCTAGTCACCTTGGGGGGGGGAATTTACTTAGGGCCCCCACCCGCAGCCCAGGGGTGGGGCCGGGGGGGAGGACAGTAGGTTCCCCCCCCCATTATCTTTATAGCCCCCACCCGCCGCCCAGGGGTGGGGTCCGGAGGGGGGGTGGACAGTAGGTCCCCCCCCCTCATTATCAATTTGGCCCCCACCCGCCGCGCAGGGGTGGGGACCGGGGGGGGCAGTAGGTCTCCCCCTCATTATCAATATGGCCCCCACCCGCCGCACAGGGGTGGGGGCAGGGGGGTACAATAGGTCCCTCCCTTATTGTTCATTTTAGGGCCCCCACCCACCACTCAGGGGTGGGGGCCGGGGGGGACAATAGGTCCCCCCTTATTGGTATTTTTAGGGCCCCCACCCACCGCTCAGGGGTGGGAGCAGGGGGGAGGACAATAGGTCCACCCCTATTAATATTTAGGGTCCCCACTGGGGGGGGACCCTTTTTTTTTTTTAAACAGTGAGCAGCCACAGCCACACGTTTGTTAACCACAACGTTCTAATTGGGATCAAGAGGTTAACCAGCAGCACACTTCTATCCTGGTTTTGCCATCCGTTCGGTAGGTTTGTTCGGTAAAATGGGTCATTCGTATGCATGGGCTATGGAAACAGCCATTTACACAAAAGGAAGGCAAAATAGACGAATCCACCACGAATAGGCATACAGATGGTTCCGTCACACAGGTTGAGTAGAGAAACCTTAATTCAGGATGCAGTTAAGTAGATATTTTGTTCCATTTTTGTGTTGAGTCCTGAGGCTGGAATAATATTTTTAATCCATGCCATTGCGGTAATATATACAAATTATATTTCAAAATATATTTTTCATATTTTCCTGCAGTGGTATAGCTTTGTGGCTTGACTTCACATACACGTAATAGTTTTTTTAAGACAAATTGAATTTAATTTCACTGACTGCAAACTCTACTAAGTACATGTCTCATTAATGCATAGCATATTGCACTAGATTAGGGAAAATATAATGAAGTAATGACATTGAAAAGTGATGATAGCTGGAGAATAATGAGAAAATGTGTGCATTAAATAATTAAACATCTACAAACATGGACATCAAGATTTAAACCAGGCTGCAGCATAGGTAATAATGACATAAATACATTTTAGTGGGTACAAGTAACTCTCAGAGTACTGATGCTGACTTAGAAATGGGTGATAGAGTTAAAAGGACACTATAGTCACTAAAACACTTTAGTTTAATGAAGCAATTTTGGTAAATAGCTCATGCTCCTACAATGTCTTTGCTCAGTTCTCTGCCATTTAGATGGGGTGTTTTTTGGAGGGGGGTAAATTCTTTATTATTCTTGTGCAGGAGATGACAATTATGCTTTCATTGCCACAATAGCAGAATAAAGCACTTTCAAGACATATATTTACATGACATAGGGAGAAGAATTGCACAAATTTTTAAATATAATAATTTTGCAGTGCAGTTGCATAAACATCGGTAGCATAAGACAGGCTTGTGGCACATATAAAGACAAAGACTTGTGTGTTATATAGCTAAAATAGTGCACCTCTTTATATAACAGGAGAGCCGTCAACTGGGTAAAGCTGAGGTGTAGGTATAGTGAAGGATTTACAAGAGGAGTGAGATTATCCCCTTGGGTCCCCAGAAGTGAAATCTAAAATTAGCTTTTGAGTTTAGAATTAGGGTTAAATGATCGCAAGTCATAATGTTGTTTTGATGTATATAAGGAACAAAGGAACCCCGAAATGCAGAATTCCATGTGTAAATGGCAGGACAGGAACATACTAAATGGCCCAGCCTTCAGGTGTGTATAGGAAATGTTAGCTCTAGTGTCAGCCAGGGTGAAAGAGAGATGTTTTGTCCTTAGTTGCCCCTAACCTGGCAGGCTGCAGGGGGTGAGAGGAGAGGGACTTTACACTAGATATCAATTCATTATAATCTAAGTAAAGCCATCACCTGACCACATGGGGAGAGGCGTATTCTAGCCTATTGGAAGTCTAAGGTGAATGAGGACAGGAAGAAATGTTGAGTTTGCAGCAGAACTACTCGTGTGCCTGTCAATTATTTGAACCTGAACAATGAATTAGCTTTGGGCTACTGTATGGGAAAGAGAGAAAGAAAAACCACAAAACCAAACAAATAAACAAAAGAGAGAGAGATAAAAATGTTAAACAGGTTTATGCGTTTGCGTATCGATTATCTGAGCCATAACTGTAGTTTAGCGTCTGGCAACTGGGTATTCATGGTGGAGGGGACCTTCTCCCATGTAGGCCATTTAGATGTTAAATTACTTTGTTTATGCAGTCCTAGTCACACCTCCTTGCAAGTAATGTTCACAGCCTTCCTAAACACTTCATGTAAAGTGAGATCTAATGTTTATACTTCCTTATTGTGCATTCTGTTCAATGTAGAATGTCTTATCTCCCACACTGTTAATAGCTTGTTAGGCCTTGCAGGAGACTCCTGTGTGTGATTAAAGTTCTATTTACAGAGAGGGAGTTAAACATTTCTCAAGTAAGTTAACATCTGATTGAAAATGAAACCATTTTTTTTCATGTAGACTGTGTGAGTCACAGCCAGAGGAGATGTGGCTAGGGCTGCAAGGACAGAAACAAACATGATTTAACTCCTAAATGGTGAATAATTGAGCAATAAGACTTCATAATAATCTACACAATAAATGCTTCATTAAGCTAAAGTTGTTTTGGTAACTATAGAGTCCCTTTATCAGAGACATTTACAATGCTCAAGATCTAATTGCACAATAGCATATCTATGCATGACGACTTCCACTGTCACTGGAATTCCCAAAGTATGGGGAAATCCTAATGCGAGCGTGAACATTGCCACGCATGCGCATTAGGTCTCACCTGGATACAGGTAAGTAACTGAAGAGATTTTAACCCCTTCAGTACCACAGGAGGGGAAGTGCGAGGGAGGGGATCACTGTAGGATTCTATAGTGCCAGAAAAACAGCTATGTTTTCCTGGCACTATAAAATCCCTTTAAGACAGGTTGGATGCAAATTTGGAGATTAGCCTTGAAAGTATGAATTCTGATTCTGAATATTCTGGTGTCTGCTAAAAATAACCTTGTGAATAACTAAATTATATGCAAAGTACAAAAACTTTTACATTTGTCAACCAATAAACTATATATATATCGCCAGTGAAATAATTATATGAATGTGGTGTTCTCACTTAAGATAATCCAGAAAATAATTTATCAAAAAGAATCATTTGCTGGCTAGTACCACTTACTTCTATCTTAAAAAAATATTTAGATATAGTAATTAGTGATGTCCCGAACGGTTCGCTGCGAACGGTTTTCCGCGAACTCATCGTTGAGTTAACTTTGACCCTGTACCTCACAGTCAGCAGACACATTCCAGCCAATCAGCAGCAGACCCTCCCTCCCAGACCCTCCCACCTCCTGGACAGCATCCATTTTACATTCATTGTGAAGCTGCATTCTTAGTGAGCTGTCAAGGAGGTGGGAGGGTCTGGGAGGGAGGGTCTGCTGCTGATTGGCTGGAATGTGTCTGCTGACTGTGAGGTACAGGGTCAAAGTTTACTCAATGATGAGTCCGTGGTGAACCGTTCGCGAACCATTCGGCGAACCGTTCGGGACATCACTAATGGTAATATTATAATATAATACTAAAATTATAATATTAAAATATAGAGCAGTATGGGTGGCATAGTCATTGACTGGTCTATTCTCTACCAGCTCTTTAACATGTTGAGTATAAAGGGGATTTATGTTATTGCCCATGTTATCTAACATATGCATGTAACTTTCCGGGACTACATCTTGCACCAGAAAATGTTACGTCACAATAACTGTAATGTTTTTAGTTCTGCTAATTGAGGCTCTAAATTGAAAATTCCAGACTTTATGTCACACTTTAGTGAATAACCCTGATAAAATAAATGAAATCTAGTTAGCTAAAGGCGAAACATGAAAAAGACAAACTCTCTTGCTGATGGTAGGACCAGGGCCGGATTAACATAGGGGCTGATGGAGCTGCAGCTCCAGGCCCAGGCCCAGGCCCATGGAATAGGCCCATTAAAAAATTTTTTTTTTTTTTTTTTTTTTTTTTTTTACACACACTACTCTTAGGTTTGCCACCTGACTGGTATTTTAATGGCACAGACTGTATTTGAGGCTGCCTGGCCATGCCGGTATTGCAGTAATACCAGCAATACAAATGCAGGTAATTTTCTCAGAATAAATGGAAATTACTCTGCAATACCAGCACCGGCCAGTAGGGGTCACTGTGTATGGAGAGAGGCAGGGATAGGAAGTTACAGAATATCCCTCCTTGCCTCTCTCTACTACTCACTGATCCGTGGGGGAGCAGCTACACAGCACAGAGTCCAGACAGCAGCTCTACAGCTCAGGTAAGTGAGGGATGGGGGGAAAGGCAGCAGGGACACATCGGACATTGAGACACTAGGGGACACAGACACTGGGGGACACTAGGGGACACATGGGGACACTGAGACACTAGGGGACACAGACACTAGGGGACACATGATGACACATACGCTAGGGGACACAGACACTAGGGGACACATGATGACACATACGCTAGGGGACACTGAGACACTAGGACAAAGACACTGGGAGACCTGGGAACACTGAGACACCTGGGGACACTGAGACACTTGGGGACATATGGTGACACAGACACTAGGGGACACAGACACTAGGGGACACATGGGGACACTGTCACTAGGGGACACTGAGACACTAGGACACATGGGGACACAGACACTGGGAGACCTGGGGACACTGAGACACTTGGGGACACTGGAAAACATGGGGACACTGAGACACTAGGGGACACTGGGACACATGGGAATGCTGAGACACATGGGGACGCTGTGAGACATAGGGACATTGGGAGACATTGGGACATGGAGACACTATGTCCCCCAGCCAGTGTCCCTAGTGTCTCAGTGTCCCCAAGTCTTCCAGTGTCTGTTTCCCATGTCTCTCAGTGTGCCTGGTGTTGCCATGTCTCCCAGTGTCCCTATATGTCCCAGTGTCCACATGTCTATGTCCACAACTGTCCCCATGTCTCCCAGTGTCCCCAAGTGTCTGTCTCCCAGCCAGTGTCCCCTAGTCTCCCAGTGTCCCCTAATCTCCCAGTGTCTGTGTTCCCATGTCTGTGTCCCTAGTGTCTTAGTGTCCCCATGTCTCCCAGTGTCTGTGTCCCTAGTGTCTCAGTGTTCCCATTTCTCCCAGTTTCCCTAAATGTCTGTGTCCCCATGTCTCCCAGTGTCCCCGGGTCTCTGTGTCACCAGTATCCTAGTGACATGGGGACACACTGAGACATTGGGACACTGGGAGAAATGGGGACACAGACACTGGGAGACTAGGGGACTGGGCGACATGGGGACACTGACACTGTGATACATAGGGACACTGAGACACTGGGTGACTTGCGAGACTGAGACACTGGGAGACAGGGAGACACTGGGAGCAATCCATCTATAAGGCAGAATCAAACTGTGAGTAGTTTGGTGATTTTACAGAATTTTCTCTGATGTCACTCCTTGTGATTTACATCATGTGATGTCACGCATAACTAATTAATTATACAAATGATTAAGGCTGGTATTTTTTTCCAAGAAAGGTGGCAACCTTAACTACTCTTCACATACTCTTGCTTAAAGGAGCACTATAGGGTCAGGAACACAATCATGTATTTCTGACCCTATTATGTTAAAACCACCACCCATTCTTGCCCCTTCTTGCCTCCCTAAATATAGTAAAATATTACTTGTATTCAATTCTGCAGCTGCTGGCTCAAAGTGGTGGTCTGAGCAAATTACAATACTTCCCCATAGGATTGGCTGAGACTGTCAACTAGGCAGATCAGGGGCAGAGCCAGCACAAGTCCAACATAGCCCTGGCCAATCAGCATCTCCTCATAAAGATAAATTGAATCAATGCATCTCTATGAGGAAAGTTCAGTATCTGCATGCAGAGGGTGGAGACACTGAATGGCAGTGCTGCACACTAGGCAGTACTGCCCCAGGAAGCACCTCTAGCAGCCATCTAAGGACCAGCCAGTGGAGTTATTTTCTCTGAAAAGACAGTGTTTACTGCAAAAAGCCTGAATGGAATGATTCTACTTACCAGAACAAATACAATAAGCTGTAGTTGTTCTGGTGACTATAGTGTCCCTTTAAGTTTGGAAGCTTAAGAGGATGTATGGGAACAAAACTTGTGTGCACTGGCTGACATTAAAGTTAGTTTAGGTAATGCAGACGTTGGTCTCTCTAACACTGTGGCATGTCCCCTTTCTTCTACACTCACTACAGACACCTTTTCTCTGTCTCAGACTATATACCAGGAACTTCTGCCTGCTAGTAAGAAGGTAAGGAGACAAGTGGACCAGCAAGTGCTAGGGGAAAGTCCTTAGAAAGAATGGAGTGAGCGCATCATTAGACGCATTTATGTCAAGCTCAAGGTGCTGCCTGCATAGTATGCCCTTAGTTGGACAGCCTGCAGGATTGGCAGGCAGCCTGGCATGCATTCATGCCAGGCTGACCTTCCAATTCTTTGGACAAACATGCCCCTTTTTGGGCATGTTCACCCCTTCTGGCAGGTCTTGTCACGTGATTCGCGCCAGTGGCACACCCTTTTACCCTGCCCATTGACTTCCGTGCTTCACTGGACACTGCTGTTAGGGGTTATGGATTTACTTGAAAGATGAAAGCATAAATTAGAGAGAAATTAGCATAGAGTATGTGTTTTCTTATAGCTGCATCCTATGAGTTTCCCTCCAGCACCATCTCCATCAGATACATGACGCTTGGGAGGTATGATTGTTTTAGTGTTTTTGGTCGATAAGATTCCATAATTAGGCCCATCATAATTGTCAGCACCAGGCCCACTGTACTCTTAATCCGGCCCTGGGTAGGACACTAGGCATATGCATCAAAAAAATCTTACAATTATTACCCTTATACTTTTCAGTTCATGGCATCTAAGTTCAACGCAAGAGTGTAATTTTAAAGTGTTGTTTGCCTGCAGTAAGTCATATATACATCATATTTCTGTATTATTAAAGTCTGTTTGGTTTTTATCCAAAGACGAAGAGGAAAACATTTAGTCTCTCAGGACTATATTGACATGTCAAACGATGCTTGAAAATGCTTAAATGTCTTCTCTTCTGGATTACAGCAATTCATTGCAATCATATGTCCCAGAAAATTCTATTCATTACCTACAAATGAGGCAAAATACCGCAGCCAGCCTGAAACTACCAGAACTACTAAACAACCAGCCTATGTCATATAGTCATTCCCCAATCTTTGTACTTGGTGTCCATCATGTGGAGAATATATATTTGAGAACTTAAAAACTGTAAGCATTCTAGGTTGATAGTCTCATGACCCTTCATTCCATCATCTACTTATCACAGTAAAATCATTCGTAGAAGTATCCAGTGTGTGCATACACTCAGGCTCCTATGCACATTACAATACAGACCGTATAGTCTGGGTATTCTAATACATCCAATCAGAGAGGTTTGATAACAAGAGACTTTTAAATTAAGGTTTAGACTCAAACCACTCAGCATACTGTTAGTTCATTGTTGGAAGTTTACAACTTGATTTGTCCCTTTAACGGTTTTATTTTTTACTTTTATTTTCTGTTCTTTCTATACAACAAAAACACTTACAAAACATTTTAAGTGCTCAGGTACAATGAAATGACTATTATTATTGTTATTAAATATGACATTTTCTAACAATACATATACCTTTGTAAAATCTGAATACTGCACTTAATCTGTTTGTATATTTTAAATCCTAACTATATGCATGCAAATATAGAATTTAATAACATTGTGATTATTTTCTAAGCTTTGCTCAAAAGAGCTTAGAAAATGACCCAAAAATGTTATCTTGGCTTTTTTGTGAATTTCAGCTGGCCCAATTTATTGAATGACATTTCCAAAATGTTGAGCTTTTCCGAAATAACTCAAATGGAGAATTTGTTAATATTTTCTTGTTTAAATGCTCAAAGTAGAAAAATGTTCATATTATTCAAATTCTAAAATATTTTCTTTCTTTTTTTTTTTTTCAAAATATTTTACTCCTACTCAACACAAGAGTTTAATCATATAATCATTTTATGAAGTCTCTTGAATTGCCGAAGGAGCTCTGATCGAAAAAAGATGTCACTTTTAAAAGGTTAGTACATAATTACATTTTGTAGGCTTTCAACGTGTTGTTAAAATAAAAATAATTATGAAATACTGCATCATATAATTTGCTCCATGGAAACAAAATTAAATAGTGACTTGCAAGATGTTGTTGAGCTTAAATGTTTATTATTTTGGTAATTGCCCTAAATTAATGCTGAAATTTTCTACATGAGAAAATAAAGTGCTATTGATACATTTTTTTTCATAATTACCCATCCCCACTGTTAAACATTATAAAGAGCAAAAAACCACTAAACCAGTAACATTTTCCACTCATAGATTTTATAGTCTGGGGATGATCACATTTTCTAGAA